CCATTCTATGATTCTATGATTCTATAAAGCAGTACCAAGACTTGCAGTTATTGGAGAAGTGAAAATGTTAGCAAACTTCCAATATTAATTCTACAAGTGGAAAAAAAAAGGGAAAAAAACTTATTTCTTGAGCCACTTATGTTCCATACTAAAGGTTTTGTGTGAGAATTTTTCAGTTCTAAAATGAACCTTTGATTCCTAGATAATCCTGAATCGTTGACCTTACTTTTCATGAGTACTTTCTTATGAGTTTTATGATGGTTGGTAATTATACTTAACTTGAGAGGAAGTGAAGTGCACGTGTTAAATTAGGTCACGTGACAGAATTCATCTGAGAAGCTATGGTGATGGGAAAAGACCTGCACTATTAAGCTAGACTTAACTGCCCAAATAAATGCCAGCGTACACTGGAAATGCCTGTCTTATTGCAAGGTTCTGTTGAACTTGGGGCCCCCTGAATGACATGCATGTTCAGTGCAGTCATGTAACTGCCTTTCTCCTGCTCTGGCTCCATGCTGTAGAGCTGGTGGCTGGTGGTATCATGGAGTGAGTAGATATTGTAGTGCAAAATCTATGAGATGACTTGTGTTTCTCAGCAGTTTCTTGTAGTGATTTCACGCTGCATGCATGAGATGAAAGATCCAGTTTCATCACAAAGTGCTTTCTTAGGTAAATGTTAAATTAAAAAAGTAGTCATAGCAGGTCTAGTAATGAACCCTGGTTTTATTTACCTTACATTTTTCTCTCTTGAAGTTTTTCCCCTTTTTCTTGTGAACTTGTGAATGTTCTAATGGGAGAGGGCTTACGTATTTTGCTGTAAATTTCACTTTTGTATTGTAAGTTTAAAAATGTGCAGTGCTAACCATTGTGTGGTAACTGCCTATGTATATATCTTTATCTATAGTAAATATAAGAACTTTATTGCTTGGTCTCCATTTTCTGTTGGTGTATAGACACATATGTACTCCACAAACATCCTTTTTTGCTGACCTGTCCACAGCCCTCTTCCAGGAAAATAGTTGTGGGATCTCTTCTCAACTCATTGTGATAAAATTAAGTTGATTTACTCTACATATAAAGTGAATTCATTTGAAAAGTTCTGCTGGCAGCTGGGCAATGTCAAGCTAATGAACAGAGGCTGGTCGTAAAAGTATTATCTTCTATCTCTTGTGCAGTATCCAAAATATACTGTCCACAGCGTAAATTGGAGGCAACTGATTCATTGTAAGTTTACCACAGATTACTTGCTCTATACACATATTATTTCAAGACTATTACATTTTCAAGCAACAAATAAAATCTGTTTTTCCTACATCAGAGAAGGAAAAACAGTATCTGTTTCTAGTTTCATTTTTCTTTCTGGTTGGTGCAGAGCCAGCTGAAAACTTTGTTCAGAACCACATTAAGTATTTGAAATAAGCACTGGATACTTTTTTTTTTCCCCTTCCTGTTTGCTTCTTTCCTCAGTCAAAAAAATCTAAAACATGTAAAGTTCTGAAGCTCACATTTTTCACAATTCTTGGCTATATGTGCACAGGACAAATTATGTCTTTCATGGAAGCAGGTAAATTATATAAGACCTTTTACTCTTTCTTTTAAGTGAAAGTTATACCCATTTGTTTGGAAGGTAATAGCCTGTGCTGTTAATTCCATTCTTAGCATATAGAAGAGACACTTAATTGTGTCTGGTGAGTGCTTTGATGTAAAGAGAATTACTTTCTCATGGAATAGTTATTTTTCTAGAGTTGTGCGTAGTTGCTTTTACACTTTTTGCATTGCAGTTGAGATACTCAAGGCATATGGGGATGTTTCCATGCTGGTTTTACTCTTACTAATTTTGTTATCCCACTTTCACTATTACTAATGTCTGAATGAGTTTGGGTGCATCTTTATAGGTGCTCTGTGTCTCCCAGTCATGGGAGATGTTGATGTCATGGGACATTACAGTCATGGGACTGTTGATGTCTCAACAGTCATGAAAGATGTTGAACCTGAAATGAACTTGTAACAATGCAGCTACTTTGGAATATATTAAAAATATTTTTTAGGCTGCTTGGAATTGCTGTGAAGAAATCTGTTCTTTGTGCTGCTTATGTATAGTTTATTAATTTCTGAAAAATATTTTTAATAGTTCTCAAAAATACTTTTGGCTGGACAGACGGGGAATTTTGAGTCAGATCATGGTTCCAGCTTTGTTTCCTCTAATTTAGGGAGCAGCTATAAAAATCAATATTGGACTTTTGGAAACTGCCGTCTTCTAGGTGTTATAAACTTTTTCTTTTCTTTTTCCCCTTAGCACTTAAAGTAACAAAGATGGCACAAATCATGTAAACTCGTGGTAAACTTAATTAAATTGCTTATGTATACAATTGTTTTGTGACACGAGAGAGAGCAACATTGTGTGTTATAATTTGGTTTCCTGGTCTTACTCTCCATAAGGCTGGATAGACTACCTTCTGCTATCTTGCCTCTGCCTTCTACTACCTTACTTCTGCATTTGGCCAGCGTGTAACTGTTGGGTTGTTTGTTGTTGTGGTTTTGTTTTTCGTTTTTTTTTCCTCTCCTGTGAATGTAATTGGACAAGATTCAGAAAACGAATTCCTGTTGCTAAAACACTGAAACCAGGTGCTTTAGAGTTGCGGAACTCTTATCCGCTCAAACTTTCTCATTTGAACTGAAAGCCTTTATAGAGGACAGAAATGTGATGGCATATGGCCCCTTGATATGGCAGAAAATAACTTAGCACATTCACAGTCCAGTGGGACAGAAAATTGCTTTGGTTTATGATTATCGAGACATCTCTTTTTTTTTTTTTTTAAAATAGATTAAACCACATCTATTAGACTTGGAGTATGAGATACTCTGGGGAAGTGCCTGTGTTGTAGAAGAGATCAGACTAAGTGATGACAGCAGGCTCATTCTGATGTCGCGATCTGTTAGTAATAACAGACTTCACTGAACAGTTATGTTTTGGACATCGAATAGGCTTCAAGTTGTTACTGATGTGATGGCTTCTTACAGGTATTACTATGGAAAACCAACTTTGATTCATTTGATTATAAAGAAGTTCTTAAACACCATGTTAGAAGAACACATATTGATGATCCTCCTCATCTTCTTGATATTTACCCGAGGTCACCTCATCTCCATGATGAAAAGCTTCAGTCAGTTGAGGTGAGTGCAATAAGTACTGTAATACAGGAAACCAGAAGCTTTTGTAAACATTAGCTGCCTAAAATTTATAGTTAAATGTCTTCTATGTATACCAGAGAGCTTTTTGTTATTATAACACCTTGGAAGTAACCATAGCTTATGAATCCACATTAAGGTTACTAGGCTTGCTGATGCTGTCAGATTTATCCTGATGAATTCCTTTCATGCTTCTTGTGTAAGCCTGTGCTCTACACCTGGTTAAAACAAAACATAGGCGATATCTGGTTTCTGATCAAGTAACACGGCAAACTGTTGCAGAAGATATGTGAATTTTCAATGAGCTTTAGGATGCTACTCAAAATATATCATTATAAGCAGGACAAGGTGGTGTTATTACTGAAAGTCAAATAGAATCATAAAATGGTTAGGGTTGGAAGGGACCTCAAAGATCATCTAGTACCAACGCCCCTGCCGTGTACAGGGACACTCTCCACTAGACCAGATTGCTCAAAGCCTCGTCCAACCTGGCCTTGAACACTCCCAGAGATGAGGCAGCCACAGCTTCTCTGGGCAACTTATTCTAGTGCCTCACCACCCTCAATGTAAAAAATTTCTTCCTTATATTTAATGTAAATCTATCCTCTTTCAGTTTAAAGCCATTGCCCCTTGTCCTATCACTACATACCCTTGTAAAAAGTCCCTCCCCAGCTTTCCTGTAGGTCCTCTTTCAGTACTGGAAGGCTGCAATAAGATCACCCCTGAGCCTTCTCTTCTTCAGGCTGAACAGCCCCAACTCTCTTGGCCTGTGTTCATAGGAGAGGTGTTCCAGCCCTTGGATCATCTTCGTGGCCCTCCTCTGGACTCGCTCCAGTAGCTCCATGTCCTTCTTGTGTTGGGGACTCCAGAGCTGAACACAGTATTCCAGGTGGCGTCTCACGAGAGCAGAGTAGAGGGGTAGAATCACCTCCCTCAAACTGCTGGCCACACTTTTGATGCAGCCCAGGATATGGTTTGCTTTCTGGGCTGCAAGCGCACATTGCCGGCTCATGTTGAGCTTCTCATCCACCAGCACTCCCAAGTCCTTTTCCTCTGGGCTGCTCTCAATCCATTCTCAGCCCAGCCTGTACTTGTGCTTGGGATTTTCCTGACCCATGTGCAGGACCTTGCACTTGGCCTTGTTGAACTTCATGAGATTCTCACAGGCCCACCTCTCCAGCCTGTCAAGGTCCCTCTGGATGGCATCCCTTCCCTTCGATGTATCAACCACCCCACACAACTTGGTATCGTCAGCAAACTTGCTGAGGATGCCCTCGATCTCACTGTCCATGTCACCGACGAAGATGTGAAACGGCACCGGCCCCAGTACTGACCCCTGAGGAACACCACTCATCACTGGTCTCCACTTGGACATTGAGCCATTGACCACAATTCTTTGAGTGCGACCATCCAGCCAATTCCTTATCCACTGAGTGGTCCATCCATCAAATCTGTGTCTCTCCACTTTAGAGACAAAGATGTCATGTGCGACAATGTCAAATGCTTTGAACAAGTCCAGATAGATGATGATGTTTGCTCTTTCCTTATCCATCAATGCTGTAACCCCATTGTAGAAGACCACCAAATTAGTCAGGCACGATTTGCCCTTAGTGAAGCCATGTTGGTTGTTAGCAGTCACCTCCTTCTTTTCCATGTGCCTTAGCATAGTTTCCGGGAGGATCTGCTCCTTGATCTTGCTGGGCACAGAGGTAAGACTGATTGTTCTGTAGTTCACCAAATCATGGATTAGTTGTCCCTCTTTTCAAGACCTTTAGGTATTGTGAGAAGATCTTGATATGTATCTAAAAGTTTAGAAAGCCTTTCTGGGCTAGTGGTGTGTTTTATGTCACTATAGAGTAGTAGGTCTGTATAGTCTAATTTCCTGGTAACTTCATTCTACAGCTGCTTTACTGTCAAACCTTCTATCAACAACCCTTGGAAGTATTGGGAATTAGGGAACCAAAGTGAAATGTCAAATATTCTGTCAGTATTTGGAAAATCCTGTGTTTGTCAGATTGTCTGAAAGCTATGCTAAAATGATAAACAGTACTATGCCTTAGACAAGATCGTTCCTTGTGCTAAAACCCCAGCAACTGTCCTCGGTAGATCTGGCTGGCTTCTGCATGGTGATTACTTATACTTTTATCTCTTCTTTGGTATTCTCCAGATCCCTCTGATGTCCAAGAGCTGTATCTGATCTAAATCTAGGAAATTTTTGGTTGCTGTTATATGCTAATAGGGTCCTATAGAAATTCACCATTACCTGTTTTTGTTCATATAAAATGCAGATACTGATGCCAGGGCATTTGTTTCCTGCTCAGACTTTTAAAACATTGAGATTTGAGGATATTAAGCTTTTTCTTTGTGTATGTGTATGCAATATGAGTAGTATAAAGATAAATAGCTTGATAAGAAGGGAAACCCTGATAGAACCCATCACTAAATATTCTCATGTGTCTGCTTGTGTTGTCAAGTTGGATGTGAAGCTTTCTGATGCTTAGCATTTTGATCAGAACAAGAGCAGGAGAACTGCATGGATGAAAAGCTTCTTAAGCAAAATTCTCTACCAGACTGTCATATTCATCGTAAGGTCAATGAAGTTAAGTTTACTGGTAGTAGCCTTTAGTATATGTAGTCAGCGCTGGAACAAACTCAATCACAGCATTTGCCAGCAGATTTAAACCACTCTTGCTGCATCAAGAGTTTGCTTCCAGACCTGTTCAAATTGCATGCAGTTATAACACACTCTAAACAAACACAGTAGCTTTTAGCTGCAGGGTTCTGTTGCTTTCTTTTCAGGTCAATTTTTCCAGACTACTTCTGCTCAGATACTTGGCAAAAGTATAAATATTCTAAGGCAACTTTCAAAATTTTTTTCCTCTTCCCCGCTGCCTGGTCCCAGGTAATTAAGGACCTCTGGAAAACCATTAGTGAGTTCAGGCTAGGGTAAAACTAACACTAGGAAGCACCTCCTTACTGACACTGAAAGGACACATAAAGGAAACTTGGTAGTTGAATATCAAGAAATTATTTATCAGCTAGCTTTGGCAGATTTAACTTAATTTGATATCTGCATTTCTGCATGCTTGTAACATTTGTAGTAGCTTAGGCTTTTGGATTAGCTGTTCCCTAGTAGTAAGAAGGCTTTATGGCTTTGTTATTTGTCGTAGCAAAATTCTGGACTCTTGTGGTATCTTTTCTGACCTGACTTCAGAATTTTAAGAATAAGGTTGCTATGTTTAGTTTGCTATTGATATCACATTATTGTAGAATATCTTGCTCTCAAATAACATGCAGTATACTACATTTTTTGAGACAGAACAGTGACTGATAGATTCAACAAAACTGATACTACTGTAATGTACTATATTTTTTGTTTGTAAATTAATAATAATAATTATAATCACATCTTGTTTTCAGAATTAATGTAATAATATAATAGTGTGAACAGTGTTAAAGTGAAGTTATCAAGTTATGTTGCTCCATATGTCTCTTCCTTTTTTACTGACCTTCTTATCTGTCTCAACAAAAATTATGTTGTTTTGTTGCAGTGAGGAAGAACAGACTTCACCATCTGGACAGAGACATAATTTATCCAGACAAAGCTAGTATCAGGTTACTACCTGTAGTAACACGTTTTAGTGGCACTAACTATGGTTGAAATGTTTCTGATTTTTGTCTCTCTTCAATTAAAAAACCCACATTTTTTCCAATATTTTTTTTTAACATCCCAACCTCTTTATAACAACAGGCAATAGAGAGAATTTTAGACAGTTCCACTGCAACACCAACCGGATCTTTCTATGGCTCATCATGTTTCTGATATACCAGGGGAAGGAGGAATTGAATCACAGACATGTCAGAGGGAGCTTTTTGAGGTCATCTAGTCTTGTTGCTAATAGTACATCAAGTCAGCCATGGCTTTGTCTAGTCAGGGGGCCTTGAAAATCGATGAAGCTTCCCCAGTCTCTCTGGGTGATCTGTTCCACTACTGTGCAGCAATTGTAATGACACAGTTTTTCCTAATATCTGATCTGCACCTCAGACAAAATGCAGAATGGCTTGATTTCTGTTCATTTTCTTTTTCATGAGAAACGGGGGAAGATGATTGATCTTAACTACACTGAAGTAACGATACTTGTAAGAGACTTGGTAACATATGCGAGAGTTACAGGCAGGCAGAGGAGGCAGCTCAAACATGGGATATTTAAAAGTATAGATGACCTTTTTAAGGTTTGCTACAAGCCACTACAATGTCATCTGGACACTTGAGATGTGTTACAATACATTGCTGTGAGTTATGCTGAGC